GAGAAGAGCATCAAGAAGAAACAGGACATATCAGAGGTGACATAGCTGGGTCACTGCCCAGCTGCAGCTTTTAAAAACTGCAGGAGTTATCTGCTGAGCTTTTAACAGACTTCCCAAACCATCTGGAAGTGACTAGTTTCTCAAGGGTGGATCAAAATGTTAGTGGCTGCACTTAGTCTAGTCAGGAGAAGGAGAAATGGCTTCAAACTAAAAGTAGATTTAGACTAGATATTAGATAATTCTTTCCTGTGAGAGGGTGGTGAGGCACTGAAACAGGTTGCCCAGAGAAGCTGAATGTCCCATCTCTGGAAATGTTCAAAATCATGTTGGATGGAGTCCTGGGCAAGCTGAACCTCAAACTTCTCTGCATTCAACAAGGAGGTGGGTGGATTTTCCAAGTAAAAGTATAGGTATACTTGTGGCACCTATACCACACCCTTTCCTATTCCATGATGTCTAATGCAAAGCTATCTAGAAATGAATGCTTTTACAGTGAAATCTCAGAGCCCAACAGAAAGTATACAATGGAAGTCAGCAGCTAGGCAAATACCCTTAGGATCTGATGTGTTTTAATATTTCAGTACTTATGTGAGATTTGACTATATTGATGTCTCTTAGGAACTGTCAGTCAAGATATGGTAGTTCAGATGCCTTCCCTCAGCCATAGTCTTTGTGCATGAAATACTTTTTACATTGAAGGCCAAGAAGAAACAGTCTGTTGTTCTCCTGGGAACACACCATGAACCTGAGCAAAGCTGTCTTCCAAAAAAGGGATATCTCTGAAGCCTTCAGCTATTTTTTTGAATGGTGTTAAACCTGTTGCCTCAAAGGCTGGAAGCTCTTTTGCATAGTAACTGAAGAGTGGCAGCATAAGTCTTTTATTTTGTGAACTTCATACACAATCCAAAGTCAACAAAGACATACAAAAATAGAAAAATAAATGCTCTGAATCATCTGGACATATGATAGTTTTAATATTGTATCACAGACCTCACTATATCAAGTGAAATCAATGAGAAACCATTTGTACCAACCAGTCATTGAAACATTTCAGCTTCACATCCTCCTGCTTGAAAAGCAATTGAGATTCATGTGATGACAGTTCTTGAGTCCTACACACACTTGCAGAGGAACTCGTTATGACAAGTAGTTCATCAAGTTCACAGACAACTAAAAACTGGTTATAGCAAGTCACCACTGGACATAGACCAATGTCAAACATAATGTCCTGTAGCATTTCCTTAGAAAACATCTGCTTGTGTTTCTCCTATTACTAGCTGTAGGAAAAGAACACTCAAACCCTAGCCAAGATTGTACCTCTAAAGCCAAATTTATTTTCAAGTTGTGATATTTAATTTTTGCAGAAGAGCAGAAGCTCAGTAATCAGACATACAGACCATGTATTCCAGTGGTGCCAAGTCACAGGTTTCTACTTATGGAGCCAGTAGAGAGTAAGAATATCTCTGAAGAATGTTTTTGTTCAGCTTTGCAAACTGTATCTTATCACCTGCCTGGCCTAATGATAACAGAATAAACTCAGATATCACAGACTCCAAAGTACTGCAATCAGAGGTTTTAAGAAACAATTTCCTCTGAGCAGCTATGGGTATTTTAGGTCACCATTGCAATGTCTTGCCTGGTGGGGTTTAAATGATGATAATGTTAAACTTCAGTGCGATCAGTTTCAAAACAGGTTGAAAACTTTGCACATGCATTAATTTATCAAATTCAACTTTAATTAAGTATGGATTGAAACCAAAGAAATTAGGTCTCTTTGATAAGAATAAACCTAGTATTGAACTACCAGCAGCAGATGATAGTATATTTTTAAATATTCCATAGCTGCCTGTTGTTATCTCTACAACATATAAGCAGAAACTCTATTTACGAAACATGTAGAACCTCTGGAATTTTTAGGAGAATGTATCTCTCCTGCTTTCCTGTGAAAGCATCACCCATTTTTGCCTGCCAGCTATAGTCCACAATGTAATGGATATGTTTGGCAAAAATATCTCCCACTGACAAGACTGTCCAACTAAGCAGACATGTTATTTTTTGATTCTGCTATCCTTACTTCCACAAGATCAAATGTGAGTTAAAATGCTATTAATGTGCTTAATGACATGTTCCTAGCAATAAATTCAGTCAAATTTAGCAAGATGGAATGACTGAGTCTAGGACAGACATCCAGTGAGACCTGAGACAAGCAATTCTGAACAGCTGCTGGCATGAAATCCAGCATTTGCAACACTTTATGACCCTTCACGTATCAGTAGCACAGCAGTACAAGGACTGGAAGACTCATCATTGGTCAGTACAACAAAAACCTTCCTACCATTTCCACCCTTTGATTCATGTGTCTCCCCGGAGCTCACAAGGGATTATGTCTATTAAAACCTGAGCTTGGCTGTGGCAATATATTCTTTTGTCTTAGAATGTGCATGAACTAAACAGCAGCTTGGCCTGTGCCCTTGTCACGTCTTCCACCCACCCCGTGGTTCATATGTTCCTGTTATATGCAGTTCTATAATTAAAACCACTGAAAGTCAACTGCAACAGCTATTAAAATTTTTACCTTCTAAATATGTATAAGGCCTAGCCATTGCAGTGAAATCCTTTCCTGTTCCTACTGTGTTAACATGAAATTTAAAAGTGGTACATGCTCAAGAAATCACTTGGTCCTGTTCTCCATCAGTCGCCTCTCACCCCCCCAAAACAGTTCCACTTCACACATTCAGATAACAAAACATTAGCTGATCTCTACATTTGTATTTCTGATGATGGTGCTCTCACTATCTCATCCTCTGTTTCAGTTGCCAGCTTTGGCAGCAACAAGATTTTCATGTTTGTTTAGACCTGATCTAAACATTATGCCCATTAAAAAGATGCTGCTTGCTAGACAGCAAATTAAGCATTATAAAATGGATTCTGCTGAAGAACAGTTTCCCTGCTTTAAGTATGGGAAGAAGAGACTTAGGGAAGATTCTGAGATAGCATATTTAGGGGGGGAAAGTTACTGTGCAGGAGCAATGGCAGTCAGAGGTGAGGAGTGAGAATATGTGAGAGAAACAGCTCCAGAGACACAGAGAAAAGGAAAAGTGTGAACAGCCCTCTCCCTGAGGAGGAAGGAGGAGCAGAGACATGTGATGAACTGACCACAGTCCCTATTTCTCACTGTTGCAGGTGGAAGTAAACATTTTAGAGAGTGACTGCTATCACATCCAGATTGAAGGATGCTCCCAGAGGTCCATCAGAAAGCCACAGACAGATGGCATTATAGTCTGACAGAGAGATAAATTATTCTTCAAAAGGGCAACAAACAATGACCCAGGTACAAAGCACAGAAAACACTTGCTTTAGAAAAGGAAAGTAATAGAATTCCAAAGGAGAATCACATTTGAGGAATTCAGAAGCTGCAGTAGGAAGTTGTTTGTGTTGGCCAAGTGTTCCTACTGGAAGGGTTTGCCTTTCTTTATTACACCCCAGTTGTGTGTGTGATTACAAAAGATTTTCAGGAAAAAAGGCCAAGCCCCATCAGTCTGTGTAGCTAACAGGCATTACCCACCATGACTTCCATTAGTACTTGGATTGCAATATCCATACCCATTTATGTTCAGGCTAAAAAAGTTGTCACAACCTGATACTGCTGGACAATGTCAGCTAGTTTTTGCTTGCTTGTGCTAGTCACTCTTTGACAAGCCTATGTAAGCCCAGGGCATTTTGTTAACACCTTTTTTCTTGCAAATGGAGATCATAGAGAACAATAAAAGATCTTCACAACATCAGATACAAAGCCTGGCTCGTTGAGGTAACTTATTGTCATCTAAGAGTACCATGACTTGCCAGGCTACAGACCTGGTTGTCAGAACACTGCAATGTGTCACAGCATCACACAGGCAGTAAGCTCTTGTCTTCCAAGTCCAGACCCAGGAACCAGAGTAGTGCCTCATGATTTTGACCCAAAGAACTCACAGTAACCACAACACACCCTGTAAAAAGCAGCAAAACCAGTAGGCACTAATAAGAGAGTGCCTTATCAGTGGTGGAAAGAGAAAGGGCTATGTGACTGCTGTTCCCATTAAAGTCCTGAGAGATATCAGCCATAATGCCATTCCTGCCCTCTTCACCAAGAGGATGAAAATTCAGACAAATTTTTTCAGTCATTCCTTCCCTCTTCACCAAGGGGATGAAAATTCAGACAAATTTTTTCAGTGTGAATTCCATACACTTTTCTCCATTAAAAGCCATTCAAAACACCACCAAGGCTGATGTTGTTGATAGTCAGAGCACTAGTGAACACCAGTTGCCAGTAGAGTTGGGATGCTGAATCAAGGCTTATGCTGTTGACAGTCAGAGCACTAGTCAACATCAGTTGCCAGTAGAGTTGGGATGCTGAAAGGCAGAAAAGCACAAACATCCCTTTGCTTCCTTAAGAATCATTCCCAGCAGCATCCAGAGCATTCTTTTTACAGTACAATACCAGAAAATGCAGGGGAAAAAATTATTCCTATACAAAATAACTCAAAATCTGAGTATTAATAAGATGCCATCCTTCATATTCAGTAATCCAAAATTTTATAATGCAATTGAACTATATCAGAACCAAAAGGGAATTCATGTTTTGCTCTGAGGTTGTCTGCTGACCTACAGTTAATACTGACTTGGATAGAAAAACCCATCACAAACATATAACAAAATTATAGAATCGTAACATCATAGAGTGATTTGGGTTGGAAAGGACCTTAAAGATCACCTAGTTCCAATCCCCCTGCCATAGATGGGCAGGTAACTCTTCCACTAGATCCTGTTTCTCAAAGCTCCATCCAATGTGGCCTTGCACAGTGACTTCTTACAGAGTGGAACTGAGCAGAAGACACTAAAATAAAAAATTATCAGCGTAGAATTTTAAGAATGAAAGAAAGCAATCGCAGCTTTTCATACCTGTATGCTAACTGAACCTATTCTAGTTCTAATTGTGCAGAACTGGGAGCTCTACTTACTTTCACAGAGACGTCTTCTCAACTTCCCCCGAATTTTATCGATCGCATTGTAATCAGAGACATGAAACACGTGAGCAGACTTGGGCTCTGAAGCAATTTCATCAAGTTCCTCTTTTAAGGCTTCTCCAACACCCACAGCAAAGATCCTAATCCCAGCCTGGTGAGCTGCAGTGGCTGGATCCAAGACAAAATCCTGGCTCCTTCCGTCAGTCAAAAGGATAGCCACTTTTTTAACAGTTCGATCACTAAGTCTCCCACCAGCTTCTTTGGAAAAACTGTAGGTTTTGATGTACCTGAGAGCATCTCCAGTGTTCGTATTACCCCCATAATACTGAATTTTTCGTGCAGCCTCTTTGATTTCCTCACGGGTTTTGTACCTTCCCAGGTCAAACTCTGTGGTTGGTCGATCACTGTATCGCACTACACCCACACGGGTTTTGTCTGGGCCAATCTCAAAAGTGTCCACCAAATTAGACACCCACTGTCGAACTTTCTCAAAATCTTCTTTTCCAACACTGGAGGAGGTATCCAAGATGAAGACAAGGTCATAGTGAACATTCTTGCAACCTGCAAGAGTGGCAGAAAATACAGTTAAGGTAAGATGAAAGCAGAGTGCCAGACATACCAAATATTCCCTAGACATGGCTCCCTAGTGAGCAATTAGGAGGAGGTAGAAAACACTCTCCCTATTCTGCAGGGAAGTGCAGATTCCTAACCTTTCTTCCCTATGATTCACCTCATCTGTTTCAGGACATCTACAGATCAGCACACACTTCACTTTGAAATGCAAACTTTTTTTCTTCCTCTGCTGTTAACTGCCTCTGCTCAATCCTTCACCTACACCATCTGCATGCATATGAAACTATTTTCCTGACTTCATTGCAGTGCCTTTGCTCAGGCAATGCTCTGAAATTACCTTGGCAGATCAAGAGACATGCCCTGACCTTGCTTATGCCAATCTTGACCATAAGTAGTGAAGCCTTCATATTCCCTCTTGCACTAACACTATGATTTATTTATGCTTAGCTAGAAGCAGTTCTTTTGCTCAGCATGATATGTTGGTGAAGCAAGTTCATAACAAGATTATTTCCATTTTGAGGCTCTCTGCCATTGACTATTGACTAGAGGATAACTCACTGTATTCTGGGATGGCTTCCTCAATGACAAAGGGCAGCTGTTTTCTAAGGGAAAAGTTCACTTATCCCCACAACCACCCCTTTGCCTCCAGTCAAATTTGTAATGTGAGGCCTGTGAAATGCAAAAACCAAATGCATTTTAGTTGTGGCTTTCTTGCCCTATCAAGCCATACTGGTCATATATTTGGCAGATGCTTGTCAAAAAAGTAGAACTCTCAGAAGATGGAGGCAGTAGATCCATAAACATCCCACAAATGCCCAAGATTTATCAACATGATGCCCCAATGGGACAAAAGTTGTATATGGATATACATGTTTATTTAATTCACTATTGTAGACCACAATCCCTAATAAATGATGAGTTTTAAGATTGAAAGGTGCTCTACAAAGTCAATTTGCTCACAACCACCAATCATTATTTCTTCAATAGTCTTTGCCTCATGTTGCCTCACAAAGTACAACTGCTTGTTTGAACCAACAGTAAAATGTCGTATTTCCTTAGTGAATTCCACCATTTGAGTCTATATGAAGGTCACAAAGTCCTCTTCCACGTCCAGATTATGGCATAAATTATCTCTGGTACTTTTGCTCATCCCAGGACTGTGCCCCTGCCCTGAAGAGTTCAGGAATACCTGAACAGCCTACTGCACTGGAAAGAAGAGAGTGGGCTCAGCTACACCAAGATGATTTGTCTTCAGAGAAGAGTAAGAGCATTATAGGTAGGCTTATCAAACAGTAGGTCAGTGCTCATGGTATTGCATGCTGGCCATGAGAGTGACTGAATAAACACTTGGAGTGTGGCAGGTGGAGAGGAAAAATGAGCAGCATCTGCTGCCATGTTGAATTCTGTAGCAAAGTGCATCCCACCTGCTGCAGTGCCTATGGAACAACCTATGCACATGAGATTGGGATCACATTGGGTTCAACCCATCCACATGGAATCTTTTTGGAAACAGCCTGTTGTGGTTTAACTCCAGCTGGCAACAAAGCACCACACAGCCCCTCACCTCCCTCATCAGCAGGACCAGGAGGAAGAGAATTAGAAGGATAAAAGCAGGAGAAGTTGAGAAAAGAGCATTAAATAATGATTTACTACTACTACTACTACTACTACTACTACTAATGTAATGAAAAGGAAAATGGCAAAGAGAGAGATAAACCCCAAGAAAGACAAATGATGCAAATGTAAACAGCTGCTCACCACCAACAAGCTGAAGCTCAGCCAGCCCCTGAGCAGCAGCCCCCAGTCAACTTTTCCCCCAGCCTTATATACTGAGCATGACACCATATAGTATAGGATACCCCTTTGGTCAGCTGGGCTCAGTTGCCCCAGCTCACAATTTCTTGTACATCCCCAGTTTCCTCAGCAGAAAAGGCATTGACTCTGTGTAAGCACTGTTCAACATTAAGGACAACACCCCTGCATTATCAACACTGTTTCCAGCACAAATCCAAATCACAGTCCCATACCAGCTGCTCTGAAGAAAGTTAACTCTATCCCAGCTAAAATCAGCATGTAGGATCATGTTCAGTGATGGTAATTTGTGTCTGAGGGAATGTTTGTCTCTAACTACAGAACAAGAAAGGTCTGGATGGAAAAAAATCTCTCAAAGCTATCTGAGAATGGAGATGATGGTATAGATAATTTTATATTCTGGGATGTAACTTACGTTACATCTCTGTATTTCAGTTAGACTGTCAAGTGTGGTTCTGCTTGATTTTTGGAGAATATAAAGGGCAGAATGTATCACAGTAAAAGGTGAGAAAGGAATTCACACTTCCTTCCCCCTATGCCCTCTACCCCCCCAGTTCATTATTATATTAATCTATTCTGTCTGAAAGAATGTTAATTAGGTGAGACTAACTAGAGAACAAAACCCACAAGGTGCAGACCTTCCTGTTGTTTATTTTAACAACTCTCAGCAGGTGAGACGACTGCAATTTAAAAACAAAGAGAACAGACAGAATGAATCCTGTCTGTGTTCAAGGGCAATGAGCCTTAAAACAAGGGAGAGTTAAGGTTTAAAAAGTGATGCCTATTCAAGGCAGTATTGCAGGGATTTGAAATATGGTCTTTCAGATTCATTTTCTTGCAGTTAGTGATTTTTAGCTTACAGAACCAATGGCAGTGAGATAAAATGCTACAGAAAAGTTTTTAGTAAATATTAAGCTGCATTTTTAGCACTGTAATGTACACTGATGGACAAAGTTGATTTTTTCCAAGAATTCAGTAACTATATGTTTTACTGGCAGAAACATTCAGTTTAAGGGAATGTTAAGGGAATAAGGGAGATAATTAACAGAAAGCAAAATTTCAGTTTTATAATTACAGGAATACTCTCTGGAAACATAATTCAAAGAGTTGTGTTCATCCACTCAGACACTGAACCAACTGTTTTGCAATATTTCCATTTAAAATAGTTCACAAACAAGCCATAAGCCCAAAATTATTTAAAGTAAGTACAGAATGAACATATAAATAGCACTACTATATTCTTCCTGTGACTGATCCAGAAGCAGAAAAAAAAGGTGAGATTTCACTTTGTTTGGTTACTAAGTAATCGTTCTTGTTAAACTTAATCCAAAAAGCTTTATATAGATCACATAAGAAAACTGTAAAGCAGCTATTACTTAAACTGAGAGAAGGCCTAAAAAAGCCTTTTCTTTCTTATAAATTACCTAAGCCTATGGAATTTTCCTAGAAAAAGACAGAAAAGCTCCACCTCAAAATGTCTTTGGGCTTTAATACCAAAGAACTGTGTGAGCCTACAACTGTTTTTCATTTGAGGTATATACCAAGGAACTGTGTAAGCCTACAACTGTTTTTCATTTGAGGTATATCATCATTGTTGCCAGATAACCCAACACTTCTTACTATCCCCCAAAAAACCTGTCCTTGTCAAGAGTGCCTATAGGAACAGTCCCTCAACTGCACTATCCTCTCATTCATTCAGTCACTTCTGAGTGAGAGTGCTCATCAGCCCAGGCCATGCCAGGGACCATGCTAGCAACTAGACAGTATAGAAACATTGAATCACTTAGGTTGGAAGAGACCTTTAAGATCATTGAGTCCAACCTTTAACCCAGCACTGCTGAGCCCACCACTAAAGCATGTCCCTAAGAACCACATCAACATATCCTTTAAATACCTTGAACCAAGAGAGGGTGTGAAAAGTGCCCTCTCCCTGTTTAGCTCACTAGGAGAGTCAACAGCCAAACAGAAGATTCACCAGGTCTCATCTGACACCCACAGAAGGCGATGGAAGAAGCAATCTCCATGCCTGTGTGGGGTAGATGAAACATTTCCAGAGTAAACTGAGATGTTTCCCTTGCTGTGGGTAGTTGAGCTAAGCTTTCTAAGCCTGCAACAGAACAAGAGATCCCAGGTAAATCATAGCCTTGATCTCTGCGCTATCTCCATCCTTAAGGCCTATTTTAGGTCTTTTCAGCAGCAAATGTCTGAGGGTTCTTATAGTTTTCCTCCTAGCAAAGACGTCTTCTCAGCTATGTGAAAGCCCCAGCATATCCTGAGCTCAAGGCAGTAAGAGGAGTGGTGCATACCTGCTCTTTGTGCCTCAGTTCTCTCCCCGCCGAACACGAATGTGAGAAGAATCAAGAGATGGGGCACACAGCATCTTCCCGTCATGGACACATCCATATCTCCTTTCTCACATCAGCTTGTCTTTTCTCTGTGGTGGGAAGTTTGTTAGAAATCCAATCCGTAGCCTAGAAAGGAAAATAAAGAGTGTGTGTTATCTCACAGAAACACAAATGGCAATAATGATGCAAGTCATGGAAGCAACGTTTTGGAGAGTCGTCTCTTCTGCCTGTCATTTTACTTGACTAGACACAAACTGCTCAGACAAAGAGGCAGGAGTTCACCTACTTTTCAAAAGCTATACTTGTTCACTGGCTCTATTCAGTGTGAAGCAGCTGAATGGAAACAGGAGAGAGATTACCAGATTATTATACTTTAATTGAGTCCACTGCCAACTACACAATCAGCGCACTGGAGTGGAAACCATTCCTGACCTGGCCCTCCCACGCATTCATCATTAGGAAATACACAACGCAGAGCTCAGATACAAACCACTACAAATCACACATACAACCCATTGCCACTTCACCCATTGCTGCTTTCAGTTCTGGAGCCTCAGAAGTGACAAAGGCTAAAAATACACCACTGTTTCCATATACGTATTTACTGCAATTGGTCCTTCTCTGTAGGAGTAAACTCACCAGCTTCAAAACATGTATTTCAACTATTTAGCTTAAAGAAATGCATAAACTCAGGTGGGTGATCTTCAATGTAAGGTCATTGATTTGAGTTGACTTTGACTGAAGTCACTGAACTCAGATGGTGGTGTAACAAGCCAGGCAAAGTGGCTGAGCTGTTAAAAGTTTAGCTATGCTTTCTAACACTAGATTAAC